GGATGGAGACCAGATGGCCACCCCTTCATCATCACAGAAATAGTCAGGCCCTGTGGCAGGGGTGTGGGTGGATCAATGGGGCACTGTCATCTGAAAGGGCAGGGCAGGGCACTGCTCCCTCTCTGGAGCTGCTCGCCACCTCCCCTCAGCCACACCCATTGTATTGTCTGTCCCGGGAACAGAGAGCCCATGTCCTCAAGTTCTATGGGTCCTTGTCCCCTGTTCTCATGAAAGTGTGGCCAGGACAGGAAGATGAGAGGTCATGAGAGAGAACTTGCCTCCCTACACATCCGAAATCTTCCAGAGAGTCTTTAAAAATCTCTAATAAATCAAGGGACAATAATAAAACAATAGGGGAAAAAAAGACACATCAAAGCGTGAAACATCATGAATAAGAACGTCAGAAACAAAGGGAGACTTTCCCCGAGACAATAAAGTGGTGAACAAACACATTGCAAGAATTAAGGGAAGGAACTGACAAAAATAAAATTGGAAGGAGAAAGAAGGAGCCAGACCTGGAGTGAGGGAAGGGGGAGGGGCAGAGCACTGGTTTCCAGTCAGAGGCCCTGAATTTCAATCATGGCTCTAGGGCACCTTGGGGCCTAACCTCTCTGGGCCTCAGCTCCCTCTTGTGCAAAATATGGAGAGTCCGTGGTGGATTATAGGATGAGATGATGGTGAAACGCTATAGCTTAGAAAACAGAGCCCTCCTTCATGGTACCCGTCTCCCCAAATAAAACTAGACATGCATTTTTGCCGGTGGAACACGACCCATTTCTGGGCCTCCTACCCCCTTCTAGTCACCCCCAGTAGGTCAGTTAAGTAAAATGAGCTGTGTGACTGGGGAATGGCTAAACCAATGTGGTACGTGAGTGCATTGCAATCTTAGTACCCTGTAAGAAATGATGTGTAAAATGGAGACAGAGAAGCATGAGAAGATCTATATGAACTGATGCAGAATGAAAGACGGAGAGCCAAGAAAACCAAATAAACAGTGACTAAAGCAGAATGTAAATGGAAAGAGTCATCCCCCCAAAACCAAAAGCAAGTGTTGGAAAATAATAAAGAACAAGCCTGGCCCCAAAGAAGAGAGATGAGGAAATAACCCTATCCCCCCAACCCACTTTTTTCCAGAGGTAGGAGGTACATTGCAGACCTCTACAATATATTCGTCAGTTTTACTGATTTTCTCTTCATTTTTGGCCTTTGATAATAATAATAGCTAGCATTTCTAGAGTGCTTTAAGGTTTGCAAAATACTTTATATATGTTGTCTTATTTGATGGTCACAACAACCTTGTGCTATAGGTGATATCATTCTTCCCACTTTACAGATGAGAAAGATGACCTGATAGCACAACAGATGATAGTTTTATGTGACCTTGGGGCTTAACCTTTCTGGATGAAATGAGTTCAGATGTGACCTTAGATTCTTACTAGCTCTGTGACCTCGGGCACCTGAAGTTTATGTGAAGTGGGGAGGGAAGAGGTGGGAACATGGGAGCTGTCAAGTACGAACCAGCAAGTGCTTGATGAGGCCACGGCTTCCCTGGAGACTGTGCCCTTTGATCTGCCATGCCAGCTCAAGAGTTGGGCATCACCAGGACTCCTGCAAATGGTGGTCTTGCTTTATTTCTGTATCATCTGAAGCAAAGTAAACTGGAGGAATTGGGGCTCTCAGGGAGCCAGTCCTGGTGTTTGTTGGGCACTGGGGCCCTTGGAAGGATGCATCGATTCGTTTCATTGCTTGATTTCCGAAGCTCCCACTTCCCTGCTTGCAGCACAGAAAGCATCTTTTCCAGGGAAGCAGCAGGAAATGAGGGAGCTGAGACAGTCAGCATTTATTATTAGCGTTTATTAAGTGCCTGCTACGTCCCAGGCACTATACTAAGCACTGGGTTAGAGCGGGGCCAGGGTTGCTCTGGCTTTGTCCCCATATCTCTGTTTAACCTCTACTGGGAGCCAAGGGGATGCTTGCCAAAGTGTCTTCCAAGCTGGGGCAGGGAATGGGGGAGGGGAGGGGGAGACTAATGAAATACTGGGCTTTTCTTTCTTGGCCCCAACTTCTCAGGTCATGATCTGTGGCATCTTAAGCATCCTTGCAGATTTCTTTGGAAAGTTTTCTAAACAATTGCCTTTCCCTCTCTGGCTTCCTCTCCCCTCCCCCTCTTCTCCCTGGGCTGGGCCTCTGGAGCCAATCCAGATGTGGAACCAAGGATGTGGACTTGGTTGCAGATTCCTGGACCCACGTTTTATTTCTCTGTTGGTTCTTGGAAGGACTGTCACCCCAGATCCCCCACCCCTTCCCCTGCCGCACCAGGAAGGAAGCCGAGGCTAATGGGAACCTCAGCTGGGACCTTGCAGGCTTTGACTAGTGAGATCTTGCCTTTCACTAGAGGGGAAAGGAGTCCTGATCTGATTCCCCACCCCCATCCCTTTTTTTTAATGTTCTCTCCCTCCTCAGTTTATCTTACCTTTATCTATCACGTGTTGTATTCTCTGGTGGAATGTAAGCTCCTTGTGGACAGGGATTGTATGGTTTTTGTCTTTGTATGCTCAGCCCTTAGCACAGTACCCAGCACACAGAAGGGTCTCAATAATCACTTGTTGAATTTAATTGACATTTGCCCCCATGTTCCATGTGAATTCTGAGATGACCTTCAGACTTAGGAAAGTGAACTGATGCCCAGATGGCTGCATTCCATGTAAGAGGGAGTAGGAGGGGAACCCTGGACACTCAGCCTGGTGGCCTCTTGAATTTTCTTAGCAAATATTCAACAAAGTGCGCTGTACTTGGTGTTTAGGGGTTGGAAGCAGTATTATGTTATGTAAGATGGGGTCCCTTCATGCATCATACAGAGCGATAGTCCTAGATGCCAGGATCTCCAAGGGAAGCACCAGGAAAGGCTGCGGATGTTCAGGCGTGATCTGGGCCACGTGGGAAGGTGGGACAGGGAGAGGACATGAAAGCGTCATGGAGGAAGTGGCTGGGGATTATCAGTGGATCTGAGTATGGTCCAATAGAGAGAGCATTGGATCGGGAGTCAGAGAACCTGGGCTCCATTCCAAGCTGAATGTTACTTTACCTTGTCTGTAAAGTGGAGATGATGATCCTTGCTCTACCTACCTCATGGGGCAATTGAGGGGAATGGATTATGACCTGGAGAGTTGAAGCCAAGAAACACAAGCTCAGAATTTCATTAATCTCCCCTTCTACTCTCCTCATTCCCTGCACCAGCTTGGAAGACACTGGCAAGAATCCCTTTGGCTCCTAGTAGCATCTAAACAGATATATGGAGACAAGACCAGAGGGACCCTGGCCCTGCCCTAACCCAATGCTTAGTATAGTGTCCAATACATAGTAGGCACTTAATAAATGCTCACCAATTGGTTTGTGAACCTTAGGACACTCTAGAAATGAGTCAGTATCATTTTGTTTTGTTTTGTTTAGGCAATTGGGGTTAAGTGACTTGCCCAGGGTCACACAGCTAGTAAGTGTCAAGTGTTTGGTCTGAGGCCGGATTTGAACTCAGGTCCTCCTGACTTCAGGGCCGGTGCGCTGTCCTCTGCGCCACCTAGCTGCCCCAAGTCAGTATCATTTTGAAGGAGCTGTAGGCTTTTTATATATGGAAGCAGGCACAATTGGGGTCAGGAGAGGGGATTATTTCGAGGAAAGCCTGTGATATAGTCAGTCAGCCAATAAGCGTTTATTCATTTAACTTAAAACAAAAGTATCTTTTGCTCCTCCTGGGATTAACAGAGATATTCTTCCCAGCACAATGATTGTTATGTATATTCCTTAAGGCTTTTGTGTTACTCAGAAACAGGTCAGTCATAGGGGAACCAAAAAATGAGACTGTACCTTTAAGCAGTGGCTCATCTTTTTTACGGAGATGGCTCACTAGATCGATTTTCAGGTTCCAATTCAAATTAAATTACCTAATTACAGAAGTGAAATTCGAATGGAAACTAATAAGGGAATCTAAAAATTACAGATCCCAAAGCCATCTTATGTTGGAGAAGGCATTTCAGAGTTAGAAACTGAATCTTCTACAGATCTAATGCTGGATAAGAAAGTGTTTCTTTACAGATAATTATAGAATAAGTGGGTTTTGCCCAAGGAAAGGAAAAAGGGAAAATACTAGCTGTTTCTTGTCTCTTATGTGCAAATAAATCCATCTGGTAATTGGAAAGAAATGGAACAGGCACTGTGCTGAGTACTCGGGTCCAAAAGGAGTCCCACTCTGCTGGGCACTAGGGATGCAGTCAGACATGAAAGGGTTCCTGCGCTCAGGGACCTGATATTCTTGGGTGCTGGCAGGATCTTGTCCAATCTGGCTGCAGCAGAAGTTTGTTTGGGGGGAGCCGTGTGATGGCTACCCTTGACCTCCAGGCCGACTCTGTATTCTCCACTGGGCTTTTATAACCTCCCAGGTTCTGTTAAAAGCAGGCTGGTTCTAGAGAACCATTTCAAGCAACACAGGGAGGAATAATTGGGAAGAAAAAGGGCCCACACTTCATGTGGGAATGTAGTGTGCTTGGGGACAGCCATTGGCTGTGTGACTCATAGGGCTGGGGACTGCCACTTGCTGCCTTATTCAGGTGTTCAGTCTCTGGGATATCAGATCACAAAGATGAGTGCCCACAAACCGAGAGTTCTTTCTTGTTGGATAATGGACCAACAGAGCAGCATCCTTCCTCTGGATGGAGCTCATGTTCCTCCCCTCCACCTGCCCACTACCACCTAGGTGGTGCCCAGAAGGGGCAACACTCACTTTGTTGCACTAGGAGAAAACTATCTAGGTAATGAGGCTCTCTAGAGTTATACACTCTGCAGTTGTCCTGTCTCAGCTGGGTCTCTGGCCCTGAGGCTGAAGACAAACAGAATCTTAGGATATCAGATCAAGAAGGGACCCAGAGACCATCTGGAAAGCTGATTCCTTTCCTTCTGCCTCCACGGGCTGTTGTTGTTCTAATCTGCTGTTTCTCTTCTCTTTTCAGCCGAGGATGGGGCCTGTGCCTGGATGACCCACCCGCTAATGATGTGATTGACTTCCCCATCGTCCCTCCCGGTGTCCTCTATGATGTGAGCCATCAATGCCGCCTCCAATACGGGGCCTATTCCACCTTCTGTGATGACATGGATGTAAGCCAGACTGACCCTCAGGAAGCTATCAGTCAGCAGAGAATCGGGGGCCCTGGGGTTCTGCAAGCTGCTGGGCACAGATGAGATGGGGAATGGGACGGAGGGACCTGGGTCAGGAGAGGGTAGCCTCTGAAGGGGCAAAATAAGGACCGGGAGCCTCCTTGACATGAGCAGATCTAAATCTGTTTCTGTTCAAGACTTTTATATAGAACCAGGGTTCCTTGCCTGGGTCCATGGACGTATTTTCTGGGAATCTGTGATCTGAGAAAAAAATTACATTTTAATTTTCACTAACCTTTTACTGAAATTTCATTCAATTGTTTAAAAACATTATTCTGAAAAGGAATCTGTAATAGACTCAAAGGTGAAGTGTCCAGGATATAGGTTATTGCGGGTATTGTAAACTGCTGGAGGGCTAGTGATTTGGGGGGCTAGCCCAGAGCCAAAAATGTTTTTTACATTTTTAAGTAAAGTTTTATTGTATTTTAAAATGTAGAAATAATTGTTATCTCCATAAGTGATTCAAAACCAGTCTGTAACCCAGTTTGTGACTCATTCTTGGAGTAAGTGGGGGGTAGGGAGGAGATGGTAGTTTTGGGTAGGAAAAACACAGTCCCCAGTGAGTCTGCCCTGAATGTCCTGATGCTTAATTATTCATCAGGTGCCTTTGAGCAGGCCAGTCCCCACTACTACCCATGCTGTAGAGAAATTAGGGATAGGGGATAGAAAGGGAAGAGAGAGGAAGAATGATGGAGAAAGAGCCTCAGATTTGAAATCCAAAGGCCAGGGTCAGAAGTTTGCTTTTTCCCACTTGCCATGAGATCCTCTCTAGGTCCGTGCCCTCCCACGTCATTTGGAGGTGCCTGATTACTTCTCCATAACCTTGAGTGAATTACTCCCTCTCTGTCGGCCTCAGTTTCCTTTTCTGGGAAGTGAAGGAGGTTGGGTTCAGTGATCTCTTGGGTTGGTTTTGATGCTCTCAAAGGGCTCGATTGGCTCTAAAATCCCATGATTCATTTCTATTCAGTGCTTACCTACTATGTGCTCAAGCCTCTGCCCAGCTCTCCTGTGGGGGAAACCGCAGAAGGAGACTCAGCCCCTTTCCTTTGAGAGCTACTGATATAGATAGGGGGCAAAACTTATCAGATACATCAACAAACTTTATTAAGGACCTACTGTGTTTCAGGCAGTGTGCTAGGTGCCATAAATACAAAGAGGCAAAAAAAAAACACACTCCCTGATTTCAAGGAGCTGCTAGGCTACTGACCAGCGTGTGAAAATGACAACTAACCATAGGTGGTCATATATACCTTAAGAACTAAATGGTGAGTTAGAGATTACAAATGTAGGAGAGAGGGAGACCATGGAGGGATGAAATGGGCAGGGAAGTTTTTCTGGAGAAGAAGAGCCTTGAGCGGGGCCTTGAAGGATGGGACAGTAGGAGAGAGGAAGAAGGAGAGTAGGCCAATAAATAGTCTGGCCACTCTGAGACCTGGCACCTTGAGCTACTTCCTACTGCTTTCTTGTTCTCCTCAGAATGTCTGCAATACTCTGTGGTGTTCAGTGGGGACCACCTGTCACTCCAAGCTGGATGCTGCTGTGGATGGCACCCGATGTGGTGAGAACAAGGTAGGCCGGCAGGTGTGGGCACGGGCAGCGGGAGGAAGGGAGATGGTGGTGTGGACTGAGTTGAGTGGGAAGGCCTCAGAGAGAGGGTCTCCTGGCCTCGTGTCCAGAATACAGAGGATGCTTCCCCCAGTCAGTTTCAGGAAGCAGGGTCACAGAGTAAAGCATCCATAGCTTCAGGTCTTTGCCACCGTTCATGGGATTAAAGAGGAGGCTCCTCCATTAATCTAGGGAAGAGGCCTGTGGCCCTCACGGCACGTTGCTTTGTCCTTTCACACTGAAGCATCATGGGACAAAGTGGAAAATAAACCAAAGAGAAGCTGGCCCAAATCTACCTCTGATCGCCCCAGGTCAGCTTGGTGCCTTTGGGTATCACCTTGCCATGGAAGGGCCTGTGCCATGACCATGGCCATGCCAGGGAGCTGAATTTTGACACACTGAATCTGCTCCCCCAAAGCCTCCTCTGCTGGCTCTCCCGTCAGGGAAATTTCTGCACTAGGGTTAGTAAATGCCAGGTGGCATTCCTCCTCCTTTCAGAGGAGAAGGGCAGGATTTGGAGAACATTCCCTATGAGTATTAGGGGGCTAGAGAAAAGGGTAGAACTCTTCCCCGCTGCCCTTAGGTGCACAAGACCTCTGGCCCAAGCCTGCCCTCCCTTCTGAGTACCCTCTATCCTGGACCTGATCTCAGCTTGGGGGAAAAGACTCAAAGAACTAATTCACATGAACGTGTTCATGAGGGATAAAGGCGTAATGTGCACCTTAATCCAGAAGAGTAACAATGACAAGGTTCTTGGTACCATGACAAGCTTGAGTAGGTGCTTTAGAAATAGATGAATATTCCCTGCCCCTTCCAGTAGAACCTTCGCCTGTAACAAATAGAGTTAAAACAGATCATCACACTGCACCTCTCAGCCAAGGCACCATCTTGCACCCTCTCTGCCAAGTGGAAGGAGGCATCATAATTTGGAAATGGAGCAATCTTGTTTTCCTCTGTAGTATTATGATCATCATGCAAATTGTTCTTCCCTACCCCTCCATTTTCCCAAGCGCTGGCCCTGTTTTTAATTAATTCCCTGCCTGAGGAAAAATAAGTGGCTATTGACAAAGTCACGCTTGCCTTCTCCCTGGGATGCTGTCATAGGAGATGTGGCCTTTCTAGCTCCTCTCTGCTCACCTACGCCCCCTTCTCTCTGTGTTTATCCGCAGTGCAGTGATTCATACACTAATTTTGTTTGTCTTCACTATAGTGTGTGTGTGTGTGTGTGTGTGTGTGTGTGTGTGTGTGTGTGTGTGTAGTGTGTGTAGTGTGGGCTTCGTAGTTCCCCTTCTTTCACATAACAGACACCCACTTACCTATTTTGCCTATATATAGGGCTGGCTCCATCTACCACCACCACTCCTGTCTCCCTTTCATAACCAGCACTGCCCCCAGTGTCACCAGCTTCTACCCATTTAACACCTTCAGCCGCCCTTCACTTTTTCCCTCCAGGGGTGACTGGGATCCATATGGGAGCTCACCCCCTTGCACTTTGTTCTCAGGGTATGCTCCACATTGCTTGAGAGAGATACTACCACCAATGGGATTGCCCTCCATAGTTCTCTGTCATCCCCACACCCACTCTGGGAAGCTAGACAGCTGCTTCAGATATACCTCACCCAGCTCCCCCCAGCCCATCCCTATCACCCTTTCTAACAGTGTTGACAGCCTTTCAAAGATACCACATATGCCCAAGAGCTATCTTCTGGCTGGGAGTTTGATATGCAATTATATACGTCAACCCCATGCCAGCACTGGACTGCTGAGGTAATTGGCAGACTACGTGATAGTGGGAGAAACTCCCCTACGCAGCCATGTGTTTGGGGACATCAGGGTCCGATGATCCCTGACCCAGGCATGCCTGAGCGAATGGGGAACATCCAGAAGGGCCAGTTAAGGATGGAGGTGGCATTGTGCTTGTCCTCATGGAATGATAAGCTTAAGTCCTGAAGGTCATCTTGTGCAACCCACTCATGTCGTGGATGAGGAAACTGAGGCCCAGAGAGTAAGTGATTTAATACCCCCAGGTGTATGTAGGCAGGAAGTGTAGACCAAAGAGTTCTGTTTGACTCCAAATGCCATACTGTTTTGGTATTCTCTGTGCCCAAGACCTCAGGCCTCTTGCAGCAGGGCCCGGCCCACGAGAATTCTCTGGAGACACATAGAGGGAGACATGCCCCCTGACACATAGGGAAAACCATCCAAGTGACCAGGTCCTCTCAAGCTTCCTTATTTGGCTGCAGGGACCTCCCCTGAGTCTCTTGCCCAGAGGCCAAGGACCTTCAGGATCTTAGCTGGTCAGAGCAGGAAGGATCCACAGAAGGGACCTAGTCTAAACTCTTCATTTTTCAGATAAAATGACTGAGGCCCACCAACAGGAATATCTTAACTTGATTATGGTAGAGCTGGGACCAGGGCTATACCTAGGGTGGGGCAATTGGGCCTTTGTCCCAGAGTGCCAAAATTTAAAGGTTACTGACAGCATTTGTACTCCTATGTTAGGTAGAAATAACGGACTTTAGAAACTAGTCAGCAAGGACATTTAATTAAAATAAGAAGTTACCAGATGGTAAGCTTCTTTCCCCAGCTGGCTGTGCCCTTAAGTGAAAACTCTGGGGACCCCCTGACTCTATCCTGTGCTTTCTTCCTTAGTGGGGTGGCCACATCCCTTCTGACTTTGGGTTCCATGGTCTGTGTATCCCCCCAGGAGCACCAGAGAGGAGACTTGTATCACTAGCTATGAGGTTTTTACGTGGAATCTCCCAACATCTTCCCTCCACCCCCAAATGAATTCTGCGTTGGCCTACTCAAGATGCATTTATTGGCTCTTGGCCCAAGGGCCAGAGTCATTCTCTCTGGCTCTGCTCTTACCTTACCTTTTTGTTTTCTTTTAAAAATAACTACAACTTTCTATTTACTCCCTAACCCCAATAGAACCCTCCCTTATAAGTAGTAAGTATAACTAGTAAGTAAAACAAATCACTGCATTGGCCATATCTGACAACACATGCCCCATTCTGCTCCCTAGTCTACCACCTCTCTACCAAGAGATGAGAAGATGTCAGCATTCTGAAGGGTTTTGGTTTTGGTTTTCTTTATGTGATTTATTGTTAATTATTCTCCTATACCTGTTTACCCAAGCACCGGTCTCGTCTTTAATCCCCAGCCTGAGAACGACTGGGCCTGGACAGTTGGGTGTCTCTCCCGGAGATGCCACCTCTCCGGCTCCTCATGCTCACGTGTGCCCTTCTCTCTGTGCCTCTCGGCAGTGGTGTTTCAACGGGGAGTGTGTGTCCGTGGGCTTCCGGCCCGATGCTGTGGATGGAGCCTGGGCTGGCTGGAGTTCCTGGTCCAGCTGCTCCCGAAGCTGTGGCGTGGGCGTGCAGAGTTCGGAGAGACAGTGCAGCAACCCCACGTAAGAGCTGGGCTTTGCTTTGGGGGGCGGGGGTGATGGAAGGAGGGGAGGCATGCCATGCCACTATGTTCCATAATCACTGGTGTGGGCAGTCCCTCCACCAGGGCTGATTGCAGCCTCTTGGTATCTTCTCCATTCGTGTGCATCTTGTCTGTGCCCTTTTCCGTTAATCGCAGGATCCCAGATCCTGGGCTGGAAGGGGTTTGAGGCCATCTAGTCCAGCCCCTCCCCCCATTTTACAGATGAAGTCATCAAGACCCAGTTTGCTCAAGGTCACCCAGACAGTAAAAGGATGGGTTAGACGAGACACTCCCCAATATTGCTTCCAGCTATAAATCCCACAATCCTGAGAACTGTCTAGAATTCTCTGGATCATCTCTCAGCCCGTTGATGGGCCCCCGTTCACAATTTCTGGTCCAGACTTCTCTGCTTTGTTCACTTAACAAGGATTTATTAAGAAGCATGCTTACCTTGTGCCTTTCCCCGTGCTGGGTCCTGTGGGAGGTAGGATATGGGGAAGAAAGAGATGCTGTGAGACAGGATTGACGTGCAGGAAACAGAATGACATAGAGGTGGGGCTGTGCGTGGTGGTCATGGACTAGTGGGGAAAGACAGAGGAGCTGATACAGAAGGTCTCACTTGGGAAGGCCTCCTGGAGGAGATGGCCACCACAAGGACTTGGCCTCCTAGCACCAATGCCCACCATCTTGTCTAGTGGCTGTAGATGTGGCATCTTGGAGTCTGGCCCCTAACTCTATCTTTTGGAGGTAGCAGAAAAAACACTGGGCTACGACTTAAGGGCCTTGGATTCAAATCTCACCTCTGATCATTGCAACATGTGTGACCTGTGTCTCAGTTTTTTCATCTGTAAAAAAAAAAAAAAGAGAGGGACTAGATGACTTTTCAGGTCTTGTGACCCACTCTGCTAGAGATGCATTCTTTTTTTTTTTTTATTAATTAGTTTATTTTTACTTTTCAACATTCAACTCCATAAGCTCCTGAGCCTTAAATCCTCTCCCCCTCCCTCCCCAAGACAGCATGTAATCCGATATAAGCTCCACATACACATTCCTTCACACACACACACAAACATATCTTCACACCAGTCATGTTGCAAAGAAGAACCAGAACCAATAGGAGGAACCACAAGAAAGAAGAAACAAAACAAAACAGAAGGAAAAAAAGAGTAAAAAGTGAGCTCTGATCTGCACTCAGACTCCGCACTTCCCTCTCTGGATGTGGACAGCGTCCTCCATTGTGAGACTTTCAGAGATGTCTCAGATCCTTGCACCACTGAGAAGGGCCAAGTCCATCAGCTAGCCACTGCACAACGCAGCTGCCAGTGTGAACAATGCTCCCCCCGGTCCAGCTCCGCTCATCTCACCCAGCACCAGTCCATACAAGTCCCCCCAGCTCCCTCCGAAGTCCACCTGCTTATCATTTCCCACAGCACAACAGTATTCCCTTACATTCACACACCACAACCCGTTCAGCCATTCCCCAACTGATGGTCATCCCATCAACCTCCAACCCTCAGTCACCACAGGAAGTGCCGCTATCAATATCTTTGTACATGTGGGTCACCCTCCCAGCTCCGTGGCCTTTTTGGGATACAGCCCCAGAAGTGGCACCGCAGATGCATTCTGTGACCGGGGTGAGTCAGTTCCCGTCTCTGGTCCCCAGTCTGCCTTGGGTAAGTGACTTGACCTCTCCAGGCCTCAGTTTTCTCATCTGTAAAACACAGTATAGTGGACAGAGCAGTAGACTTGGAATCATGAAGACCTGGGTCCAAATCCCATCTTGGATATCTACTAGTCCTGTGATAATGAACAACTCACCTGACCTTCTGGACCTCAGTTTCCTCATCTGTAGAATAAAGAGGTTGATCTCAACAGACTCTGAGACAGGGGACCTAAACTCTGTTTGAGTGTCAGACCCCTTTGGCAGCCGGATCCCCACGTGTTGTTGCCTACAATTCTTAATGGAAAGAAGCAGTGAATCCTTGTAAGACTTCTCCCATCTGAGTTTAAAGACCCCTGAAATCTGTCCCAGACCCTAGGTGTAAGCTCTCTTCCAAACCTAATCATAACAGCTCTTATGTAGCTGTCATTGGAGAACCTGAGGGTTTACAAAGAACTTTATAAGCATTTTCTAATTTGAACCTCACCCCAATCCAGGGTGGAAGATGCTTTTAGTTTCCCCGCTTTACAGATAAGGAAACTGAGGCAGACAATAGTCACTGAACCTCAGTTTCCTTACATGACTTGTCCGGGGTCATACAGCTTCCTGACTCCAGGTCCAACACTACGCATAGGGAGCCACTGAGCTGCTTGATGTTAGGCTTATGATACTAGAATCTTTTGGGTTCCTGTTCAGTTCTAAATCTAAATCCCTGTGATTGCTAGGATCCCACCTGGGGATTAGATAGGGTAATCTCTCAGGACCCTACCTTTGGAGTAGGGAGGCTCTCCCTTTTCCTTGGCCCTCATCTGTCTCTCTGTTTGACACACAATGACTCCTGATTAGGCCAGGCAGGAAGTGCTGGAGATAGGCTTCGGAGAAAAGGCTTGACAGTCAGGGCTGAAGGCCGTCAGCCCTTCAACAAAGGCTGCCCTTCCCCCTCTGGTCCATCCTGGGCCAGACTCTGGCGCCCTAAGCCCCCTGGGAGCAGGCTGGGTGGCCTTTATCTCCCTTGGATTCCAGAGGCCACACATCCATTATAGCTTGTGTTTTAAAGCAATGACGCCGGCGTTAATCTGCTCAGTGTTCGTCCATGGGTATGAAGGGCTTTGGCTGGGTCCCTGGAATGTCACCTTCCCCACATCCTGAAGCCATTTTTCTCCCCTCACTGTTGGTCAACATTCGCAAGTCTGTGCTCTGTTTATGTCCTGCCTTCCCACTATGAGATCTCAAGATCTCCAGAGCTGGGCTTTATGCCTCCTGGGATGTGAACAAGCTGAGAAGGCCCTTGGGAAGCCTCCTGGACTGGGAGGGAGGAGACCTGGGCTCTCATCCCAACCTGCCACGACCCCAGCCACTCACTATGGGACTGAGACTCAGTTTCCCCAGATGGCAAGCAGAAGGGTTTGGCTGGATAATCTTCAAGGTCCCTCTCAGCTCTGTCATTCAGAACTGTATGAGTTGACCTGAGTTGAGAACTGTATGAGTTTGACCGAGGCCAAAGAGAGGAAGAGATCTGCTTTGAGCAGCAGAGTCAGGACTTGGACCCAAGGCCATGAAGAACCTTCATCACAGCAGGCAAGGTAGTGAGTGGTGAGGCAAAGACTCACGGTCTTTGTCTTCTCTCCCATCATTTTGGTCTCAGTTCAAGGATGAATCAACTGAGGTCTGAAGGAGCCTTTGAAGGGAGCTCCTTCCTCTCTCCAGCTTCAGCACTTCCCTGAGGCCACTTTTCTTTTCTTTCTTTCTTTTTTTAGGCAGTTGGGGTTAAGTGACTTGCCCAGGGTCACACAGCTAGTAAGTGTTAAGTGTTTGGTCTGAGGTCGGATTTGAACTCAGGTCCTCCTGACTCCAGGGCCGGTGCTCTATCCACTGTGCCGTCTAGCTGCCCCTCTGGAGGCCACTTTCCTCCAAACACGCGTGGAGGACACAGTGCAAAGAATACCGACTCTGGAGTCAGACAAGTCACTTTGGTTGCATCTAGGTGGCACAGTGCACAGAGTGCCAGACTTGCAGTCAGAAAAACTTGATCAAGAATCCTGCCTCAGATGCTTCCTAGCTATGTGACCCTGGGCAAGTCACTTAATCTCCGCCTGCCTCAGTTTCCTCACCTGTAAAATGATGTTGTAATAGCATCTACCTCCCAAGGTTGTTGTGAGGATCAAATGAGTTAATAGTATCTGTAAAAGCACTTAGCATATCACTTGCCACATAGTAGGTGCTTAATAAGTGTTAATTTAAATAGTGAGTTGAATCTCATGACCTTTGGGCACCCATGACAGGATGTTCCTTGCCTTCCCCTGATCATCAGGGCCTCGGGGGGTGGGGTGTAACATTACAGGGGACTACGTGGGGTCTTTGCCTGAGAAGGAAGGGTCACTGCTACTGGGTGGTGTTGTCTGGTGGAACATGAGTGGAAGAGAGAGGGAGAGAGACAGAGATAGAGGGGTGGGAATCCTTTAGCCTCTTGAGTTATTCCAACCTCAGGCCACCCTCTCTTCTCCTTCCCCTCCAGCTGATCTCGGGGAGGTTATAGTTTTTCATGGAGGATTTTAGGTACCTTCTTCCCCTGCAGAGCTTAGAGGGAGACTGGAAATCAATTAAGAGACCAGAGTTTGAAGGAGGGAGGGCCTTGGATCTGGAGTCAGAGAGCCGTTATTTCCTGCATGTGTGGCTTTGAACAAGCCGCTGTCTGAGCCTCAGTTGCTTTATCTGTAAGATCAGGACTTTGGACCGGATGGCCTTGAGGGTCCCTTCTGGTTCTCAGGCTGTGATGTGATTTCTGGGGGATTTGGAACAAAGCCCTTCTCTCTTGGCCACAATTTCCTTGTGTGCCAAAGAAGAGAGTTATTGTTGGCTCTTTGGAATTCAGCTCCCCACGTAGAATCCTTCGACGTCAGAGGCCGAGGGCACCATTGAGATCAGCAGGTCCAATCCCTTTATTTTACTGGTGGGGAAGAGATGACCTCTGAGACCCCTTCCTGCACTTATGCTAAGCAGTCTTTTAAGGAAGCATGCCAGTGGCCAGCAAGGTCAGGAAATGCTGTCACTTCATCTAAAAATAGGCTGCTGGGGTGACTGAGGACAGATTCCTCCATCCCAGCCCCTTGCCCCCGTCACCTTGCTCTCTGCCCCAAATCATAAGCCCCTTCCCTCATCTCCCTGCTGGAGGCTCAGCTCTCTTCTCTCTGCTGGCGGCCCCAGCTTCCTGCCCTCCAGATGTCCAGATTTCAGGACTAATGGAACAGGGGCATAGGAAGGCAAATCATCCTAGCTGACTTTCTGGGTCAAGAGCCCGGGGCTGCCACTTGCCATCTTTA